CTTGCTGTCAAGTGGTGTCAAATAATAGGCCGATGGCCAGATATTCGATATGGCAACGCCGCAGCGGCAGTTCTCGTACCGCTGCTCATTAGGCAAAACATCGAAAGTTGCTGCGATCCGCAATTTGTAGCGCCCGCTGATCGACTGGCTTATTGAATTAAATTTAATTGGAGCCCAGGTAAACAGTCACTCAGTCAGTCAAACAAACAGTCGGTGGTCAGTTAAGGCATCTCCCCCTGTAGCCCCCCAAAACCCCCCTGCGAACACGCGCTGCCCGGCCATATAAACGGCAATTTCAGATCGGATACTCCTCGCACCCTCCCCGACCAAAAAAGATACCCCATCCCCAGCCCCATTCCCATCCGCTGCGTTTCTTTGCTCTGCGCATGCGTGAGCATATTTCATGGCAAGGCGATAATTAATGCAACCAAAAACTGAAATACAAAGTGTCTCTTGTTGTTGCTGTCCAAACTTGCGACGAATAAAAAATCCAAATATTATTTTTATTAAATTTGTTCGTTTATGGATACGCTACACGAAGTTGATTGAGGCGGCATTTTTGTTTTGTGGAGGCAAGCGACATGTATTTCTAATTACTAAATAGAAATAGCTGAAGATGGACTAAATTCATGTTTTTATAGAGAAAATTTGTTAAATTATATTCTATCTAATTGATTTAATATTATTTTCCTTGAAAATCTATTATGAGGTAAGATACATTTATTAAATTTAATTTAATACAAAATATAAGATTATAAAATAAATGCAATTTAAATACAAAAATGCTTCCTTGTCGTAATAGAAACCACTTTTTGTTTGCTACTGTGTCTCGGGCTGTTTAACTATTATTTGCTGTTCGCAAATAAATTTAAAGTTGTTGCGAATCAGTTTCAGTCAATTGAACTTGATTTTCTGGCTAATCATTGGACTCCGTAGGGCAGTCAACAAATCGGTCGATTGCAACCAGAAATTGCTTTCATGTCTGTCAACAGGTTTTGACGTTTAACTCTTTCGTGCGGAGCGGTTCACGGGGCAAATGTATCCAGACTGCGGCGACTGCAACGCGACTCAAAAATCTGTGCATGATGATTTATTGCCGGTGGCCCGCTTTTGGCATTTGACGCATTTGTGCAACATGCGTTTTGACATTTAAAGCTGATTTGTGTGAAATTTGAACGAACAAACAACAACGACGCGCGGCGAATTAGTCTTTTTTTTTTGCACCTCGCATTTGACGCTTGTCTAGTTCTAATTTTAATTAGAATTCGTTATTGATTTAGTTGTTGATTTATTAATAGCAGTGATTAAGTGCACGGCTCCGGACTGTGGCGCCCGCAGCTTATTTGCCTGGCACGCAATGCCAAGATCCGATCCGATCCAGGCCGAGCCTGTCCAGTTTTGGGCAAGCCTCAAACCAGCTTTCTGGCCAACACGCACCACTCGGCGCTGGGGCAGCTGCAGAAGTCCAGCGGCGCTTAAGCTGAGCACAAGGCTCCGGTCGCGAATCGGTCTAACACAGAAACTATTGATAAAGTCGAACGGGCCCGAAATATACATACTAATTAATCAGGAAATCGACTTGAGCTTATGTCGAGTCAAATTTCGGATAACCCCTTAGGTGAGTTGCGATAAACTCTGTATGTTCAACAATTCATGAGTTTAAGTGAAACTCGGACTTACTTGAAATATAAACACTATCGTTCAAATTAAAAAACATCAATAAAGAAAGCAACATTAATCCGTTATATTTCGATTTCAACTTCTTCACTGCGTTTCATTTATCTAAAAATAAAGCTAAGTAACCACATATACATTTTTTATTTAAAAATGTCAACCAAGTGAATCAATTGTAAACGTTCATTTGTAAACGTTTGATTTTACAAGCACAGCTCAACCGATTTGTAATCAATTAATTTTATGAAAAGAAAATAAACAATATACATTTTAGTATGTTGCTGTTAAAGTAAAAAGAATTGAATTGGACCATCAAACAATTGCAATAAATCCAATTAAATGCCCATATTTATGGCCAATTAAATTTGTACGAATTCCCAAAGGTCAGCATCATGCAAAATTGTAACAACAACTAAGCCAATCATTTTTAAAATAGATACCAGAAATAACACAAGCCAATAGAAACATATAAAATAAATATTCATATAAATTCATATAAATTCAGCTTAAGTTCAAGCCAAACTTAAGCAAACTTAGTTTTCAACTCACCTGACATGGCTTATCTGTACGGAGGCACATAACTTAGGCCAATTTACCTTGTCTATGAATTTGGCAATTAGAATTTGGATAATTGTACCAAACCAAGTCAGAGTTACTGATGCTCCTTACTAATTGCTCTACCTAATTGTTAATGCCCAATGCAGGCCCCTAGCCCGCAGAAATGGCATTCCAGACGCCCAACGCTGCGTATGAGCAATATTTACATTTGTGCAGCTGTAAATTGCATTTCGCACTGCTCTGCACATATCCCAAATTTAATTACGTGTTTGCCGAGCACAAGTCATAAACATTGAGTTAGCCAAGAAGCCAAATATTTAATGGATGAAATCATGAACTTAAATTCAATTTCTCTATTTCGGCACAGTATTATATATATTCAAACATGCAAATGCAGTGGCTGCCAAATGGAATTTCATTGCAAAGAAATTTGATGTGTGTAAAGCAATTTGTCATGCACTTGATAAGTTTAGGAAATGCAACTGAACAGAAATTTTAGCCAAATTACTACAAATTATTTAGAATGGAAAGGCTGCCCGTGGTTGCACCTATCAAGGCCAATACAATTTTATGCCAAACAAGATTTTCATTCATTATTTACGTAAAAGGAGCGGGTATTCATAGACTATGCTGACTATGCATACATAAATCTCTCAAAAAAGATATTACAATACAAATGGTTTTGAACACAAAACCAATCACGCCTTAAATATTTTATAACATAGATATTTGTTACATAGGATTAAAAAAGTAAGGAGTAATTTTGTTAATCTATGCTGTTTTATTTTATTATATTTTTTGTTAGAATACTAAGTCGTAATTAGTATTAAGCAAGCCCCTGTTATATATTTTGCCTTATGGTCAACAACTATTGTCGACTACTACGAAAGCTTACATTTAATTTATAGAGCCAGCTGAAACATTTCAAAATTCAAGTAAAATCCTTTTAACTGGAAATACTAATTGAAAAGACAACCTTTTATATAATATTATGGAAGATTAAATGCTCTGATGGCAACAAAGGAAGACCAATGTGGTCCTCTTAATATTTCCTTTGTGTCATTTCCTGCATTATCTGGATAATAGAACTCCCAAAACTTTTTTCACTTGATGCCACAGTCTCGTGTTTCTCTCAATTAATGACGAAGAGGCGGTCAGGCTGCCTCATTCAGATGCCTCATTATCTGGCCTTGCCCCAAATAGCTCCCCTCCCTCCTGCAAAGCAGGGTTTTCCATTTGAAATCCCCGATAAGGTTGCTACAATTATTACTCGTATTATAACTGTTTTGCTAACTGTTTTCCATCTGCTTTTCTTTCAGGTAAGTCGCTGAGATACTTTCTGCTACTTAAAGTCTTGGAGAGGCTTTGTTTATTTTTGATGCCTGGTAAGTCAGCCCTGAAAAGCAAATAATATGCAAAACAAAGGCGCTCGAAAGGGAAAGAGAGGCAGGAACTGGGAACGGAAGTTGCCAACACTTGTTCAACTTAAGGGAAACAAGAAATTTTTAGAATATTTTTATTTTCCGGGCACCCCAAAATGGGGAGTAAGTGTGTTCGCGTGGGGTTTATTTTGTGAAAGTCTGCATGATTGTATGTGAACCAGTGTGTGTATGTGTTGGCCCAGGGGTCTCCCTTTTTAAAATGCTTTTCATTTTGTTTTGACTCCCAAGCAGCAGCAGTAGCAGCGGAAAACACCTCATTGTGGGTGGCAACCTGTTGAAGGCGCCCCTCTGTAGACAACAACAATGCCAAAGAAAGGGACAGCAAACAATGCTCCGAAAGCGAAGCCATACGCAAACAGAGAGCACTTGACTTTGGGAGAGGGAAAACCACCTGACAATAATGGGAAATTCATTCGGTGGTTCCCAGTTCACTTTCCCACTAAAATAGCTTTGAATTCTGTGTAAAATAGTTAAATGTAAAAAAGCACCAACCCATTAGAAAAACTTTTTATATTTCGGGTATCTTATTATATTTATTAAGAAGAATCAAAACACCCAGTATTGACATTTAAATTGAGTTAATGTATTTGATAAAAGAGTTTGCCATTTGGGAGCAAAAAGCGCGATGTCAAAATTAGCGATACACTTGTTGTGCGGCGTGTTGACTTAAATCTGCTTTGTAACAATTTTGGATCTAGATTTTGCTGCTCTTATTATATTAAAAGTAATATTGATTATTTTCCTATTTAATTATCAAAAGCTCTTTCGTAAATTTCAAAAAATATAAATAATGACAAATACAATTACACTCGTTCGCCATTTGATTTCTTATTTTAACTTATTTACTAATAAATAGATTTCGTTAAAACGGCGGTTAATGATTTAGATATTTAGTTTAATTATTTTATTTAAATAAATAGTTTTACCTAACTGAGAAAAACCAAATGGTTAAATACTCCGTTTTGTGAATCAGAGCTTTTCCAACTCTGACCCAGCTTTTTCCTACCACAAACTCTTTCCCTGGCCAAGCTTTTGGCCAACTTCCTCGTGAAAATAGCGGGAAATGTGCGGCGAGCTTTTTCCATGGAAACATGCTGCCATTCTCTCTCGTCTGTCGAATTTTCATGCGCAGATTTCTTCGGGGGCCTGAAAGCTTTTGGTGTTTGGCCAATATGGTTGTTGTTGTTGTTGCTGCTGCTGTTGGACGGGTTAGAAACGTGTGTGTGTGTGTGTGTGTGTGTGTCTGTGGCGGTGTCTCTGTTTTGGATCTCGGTGTCTCTGTGATTCCGCTGCTGCTCGGTGCTATCAACTCCGAGTCCGAAAATCCAGTTCCAGTTTATCCCCAGCAGGCAGCATGTGCGGACGTAGTGCTGCTCCTGCTGCCGCATTTTCTTATCGCGTTCGCATTCGCTTTACCGTTAGCGTGTTTTCCACCTGAGCATCCACCGGCTTATCGTGTGTTTATCGGACGCAGATCGAAATCGGAGATTCAGATATCGAAGTTAATTGCTGTGCGTAGTGTTTGTCCAAAGCCGATTGCAATAACCAGTAATGCGAAAATATAAATATCAATTATTAAGAATCACTTGAATAAGTGCATAACCGAAACAAGTGTCTTTCCGCTGTTTTGTTTTTAAATTTCGTTTTGTGGAACTTTTCGTTTATCATTATCAAAAGCGTCCACGCCCTTGCCTATAATTTGCTTTTTATGCAATTGACTTTTATCTCTGTGTTGACTTTATTACGCCCTCACACACCCATCGAAAAAAAAGCCACAGATAAATATATATCTCGGTATATTTTCAGTTATTTTGCTTGATTTATGTTCGATGCAATCAGCTCAATGCAATTTGTCAGACTAACCAACACAAATCGATTGTATCAATTACTGAGTTCTCCCTCACGAAAATAAAACAAATAATTTTGCAAGCCAAGTGTAAAATATAGCACAACAAGAATTGTTGCTAATCAAATTTATAATTCCCTGCTGCTACTAATTCGGCTGGGTGAAGGAAATCAGACTGTCAGATTTGACGTCATTATATTAGCATAAATAAATACAAAACGCCACGCCACTCCATTAAAAAACACTTAAAAGAAATAAATGAATTTATACAAATGATTAACGCAAATCTGACTCTCAATATGCTGCTCGGCCTCGTTTATGATATCATAAAAATCTAGTAAATACAATAATATCGTTTACGCATTTGAGGGCCTCGCATTTATGTGTGTTTTATCGCATAATTTGTTGGCTGACAGAAACGGAAACTTACTTCCTTCCACGGGCCATTATGTCTGCGGCTTATGCATAAATCTGGAACCAATAAGCCGACATGAAAAATGTAATAAAAACATATACAAATTTAAGAACCAATTTTCAATCGTGTTATGCATTTTCATGAGCTAACCAACTTGATTTTAATGTGTAATGGACGGGACATATCGTCAAAATCACATCTAAATGTTGCAAAATGCGCCGCTCAGCGCAAATTGTTTATACAAATCTCAGAAATTGTGGCCACATCATGTTGCCGCTTTTACATACATACATACGTACCTCAATGCAAACAAAGTTGAAAAAAGTTTTGGCTAGTAGAGCTGATCAAAGCCAACTGCGCACCGGACGCACGCGTCTACGCTGACGTCGCAGTCGCAGTCGAAATCGAAGTCGGCGTCCAAAATAGTTGTCCGAAAATTCACATCGTTTGCATTCAGCCACACACACCTAACGGATGCAGTATCAACAGCAAACGCACGCCACAAAAAGATACCGAGATACACAAGTATCTAGCACGTTTTCAGCATTTCGCCTACGTCACGCCGCCAAAAGCAGACAAGCGAAATATACGAATACGAAATATCGTGTATATATAGATATTGTTAATTGCCCGCAGCAATTGTCGCCCCCGAAAAGAGGCACAGTGGTCGCCGATGGCTGGCACATGAAATCGATCCCACTGTGCGGTGATCAAATCAATGATGTTGTAGAAAATATATGTATACCGAAAGCGATGTGAAAATACCCTTAATATTCATTTAAAACGATCGAAATTATCTAGGAATTAACTATTCCGCATTTGGGTGTTATAAATAAATTGAAAGCTCTTATATTTATTAATTATTTTTGCAACAATCTTCTACTTACAAAGCTAAATGTGTATGATAATAACAAAACAGTTTAAAAAATACATAAGTAATATAGTTTATTATCTTCAAGTTATAGCTATTTACAAGTTACAGCTGACTGTATATCAAATATTAATAATTCATTTTCATTAGTTTCCTTTTCTCAATTTTTATGGAATTGTAAAAATAACAATATTTTTGGAAGTTACAAATTTGCATTATTTGTTGGCATATTTCATTTATTTGCTTAAACTAATCTGCTTTCCTTAGTAAGTAAAATAATATAAAAATTCTAAGCTTGATTAAGTTTAGTTTATTTTATTTATCAATCTTTAACAGTACACTAGATCTTAGCAAGTGCAAATTATTATTTTACAATAATAATACGAAGGAAACTAATTGAATTTAAGCTAACAATAACTACAAATTGCAAGAAAGCATGAAATGTTTCATTAAACCGAGCAAAGTATAAGCAAATACTGTTCTCGCAGTCTAACGCTTTCTGAAAAACAAACTTCCTCAGTCACTCAACCAGATTCCTCCTACTCAAACTCGCCGCCAAAAGTGTAATTACTGCTATTGCATTTGCAAAAATTTGCAATGAGAGAACGCTCTGTGAATAGGTATGTCATAGCTCTCGGACACGACACTTGTTGCTATTCTCGTTGCTTTGCCATTCCATTGTCGATGTCTACTTCTGATTTGGACTATTGTTAGACATGGTCAAGATCCAGTCCACCAGCATTCGCTGCGAGATGCGACAGACGAAAAAAGTCGCGCCGAGCTTTCAGAGTGTCTTGAAGTGGACAGCTGGTCGAGTGTTTGCTTTGGGCCAACATGCCAAGTTGGCCAGCTAATTGCGCCCATGCCCAGGGGATCAATTAGAGCCACTACCAGGTAGTGCACTCGCGATTCGGCTAGGCCTAGATCTGTTCGCCAAGAAAAAACTCAATCAAAATAATGCCAATACTTTGGAATTGGAATGCAATTCGAACAACGCGTGTACATTGCCCGATTTCGGTTACCCTTTTAAGCCACGACGGGCACTCGAGAAATGCCAAAAATGTTTGACCTACATTCAAAAAAAAAATTAATACAAACAGTTATGATACAAAAACTGAGCCGAGCAAAAAGGCAAGACGAAAATCTCATTAAATTTCATGCAGCATTCGCCGCCGATACAGCGATACAAAATGTTACAAGACAACAGAAGATATTGAAGCGGGCCATCAATTTTCACTGCCCATCAGGCGACGGCGGCAACTTATTTGGCCCGAACTCGTTTCGGGCTTACACGCAACGTTGCCAAAAACTACATGGGAATGCCAGGGGAGGAGCAGGAGCTGGCCACTCAGGACAGCCAGACGGGCAATTTAATTAAAGGCATTTATGTTTTTTACTGCCAGCTGCGGTTGACTCTTCACTTTCTGAGTTATCGGGGACATATGTAGCTTGGACATCGCCCAGGGAATACCTTATACAATGTATGTGCTGTTATCTGCAGACATTTTTTATGTTTTTTAATATTACCAGTAAATATTCTCAATCATTTGATTTTGGACTTAAAATTCTTTAAAGTCTTTATATTGAAGCCAGCCCTATTTTACTTATTAAAACAGAACAATTTTCTCAAGATCTGACAATTTTAATTTTATTTTATTATATTTAGTTAATTATATTTATATGATACATTCAATTGAATGATTATTTATTTTCTGAGTTATTGGGGACAAAGTTTGGATACCGATAGGAAAAACTCTCTATAATGTATAATGAAAAGTTGTTATCTGCAGTCATTTGTAATATTTTTAATGTAAGATTTTCTCAAGATTTTTACCACTCTATGTTTAAGTTAAAACACATTAATAACAACTTTCAACAAGTTTAAAAGCTACCTAGTTGGACCTAAAGTTTTTCTTTCGTTGAGTTACAATTCAATTCGGTCAAAAACTTTATCATTAATTAATTATTATTAATTATTTCCTTTTAAATCATTGTATAACAAAGTGTAAGCCTTAAGTTTTAAACTATAGCAGTAATAGCTACTTTGGCTTTTGGCACACTTAATTGTGTTTGATTAGCACAATTATTGTCTTTGTCTAATTAGCGTTAAACTAAATTAATTTAATAATTGAACAATCTTACAAATGAAAGACCTCTTTCAAGGGTATTCCCTTGTCGATAGTATCGCTCTACTTTTTTCCAGTTCACTGGCCACTTCATATTCCAATTGCCTTTTGTCATCGTATCTGCATTGTCCACTTGCCATCTTCACATTCCTCGCGATGATCACAAGTGCAGAGGTGGAGGTCCGAGAGAAAAACGGGTTTTAATCTGGCCAAAAGGGAAGTGTGGACCACTCGCTGTGCGCTTTTTTGGGAACTGTCTTAACTGTCTTAAATGATGTTAACGATGCCCTTTGGGTGTTAATTACGAATACGATTTAATCTGGACAATCAAGCGTCATTAGCTGCAGTGCAAATGATCCACAGATATGTGCTAATTAAAGCGACAGACCTTGACCAGACCACAAAGGAATAAGCGGAAATTTTGTTCATTCAAAACGTAAAACAAAAAGCGCATATTTAGATAAAGACGTGTACAAAATTTACATTAATTCAATTAGCCTGTCATAATATTTTCGTTTTCAAACGAACAAACAAGCAAAAACAAATAATGAAAAAAGTAGATTTGTTGCCCTTGTTTATAGATAAATTTAGATGTCAGCAAGCAACCTCAGAAAAGTTCAAAACAAAAATCTCTGACGCCACAAAAAAAGAGGGAAAAGCGTTCCGAAAATGTTCTCAAAATTTTTAATGTGCGGCTTTTATTTCTGCTGTCTTTTCCTCCTTTTGTTTCTCACTCTCTTTTTTTTTAAATTTGGTTTGTTTGCTTGGCGGCGTGGAAATGCCGATGCTTTTGTTTTCTTATTTTCCTTCGTTGTTTGGCATTGTTTTCGCTGCCTTTGTTTAGCTTTCCGTAAGTTTTTCTTTTCGGATTGGTGAGAAGTGAGGCGGAAAAGCGTCTGGTATAAAAATTAAACGCCATTTCGAACCGTTTGATTGACTGGCAGAAAGTTTGAAAGTGTTGGGCAGGTGTCAACCAAATCAGACATCGCATAAAAAGCATTTAGACTGCTTGAGTTTCAGTGACATTGATAGGATTATATTATTGATGTCATATTTCAATTTGGCTTTTGAACTACAGTTTGCCTTCAGAAATAAATATTTATACACCCATTTTATGGTGCTGACAATAAAATATATTATGTTAATCATATAATAAATATCGTTAGAAGAGTATTTAAATGTCAAGACAATTAAAACATGCTCATAAAGCCGAAAGCCAAAGTACACAAAAGTCGATTTTCTTGTAAAACTTTTTTTTTTGTTAAACTTGCGATGACTTTTTTTGCTTCT